TTCTTTGTAATGTAGTGACTAACTACAGCAATAAGAACATGGTCACGGTAAATGTTCCAGTGACACTACCCTTTTCAGACACGACACGGGTCACTATTTCATCACTGTCGAAAAAATGGAGCGTACATAACACTTTTAACGCTCCTGCTACGTCGAGCAACAACTGGGCGATCGCTATTTTCACCTTCCCACATTTTGTTACTGAGTTTATAGTGGGGCTCAAAAATTGAAATAAAGCCACGTTTCATCAACTGTGACAATTTCTCTCAGGCGTTTAGGGTCTCTATATTTGTACCTAGTCAATAAGGCAGAGGCTTTTCTAACCAGATCCCTTTTCTGGTCAGAAAAAAAGCAAATGCGGGATCTAAAGTGCACACACTTTCCTTAACTCAAGATGGAAAACACATATGACGCAGTAAGGCCCGATATGTCACTTACCTCCTCCACGGTATGTCTTGCATCTTATGGCTTTGATAATGCTGATGTCTTTTTCAGAGGTAGGAAATTGGCCGCATCCTTAACATTAGTTCTACCTTCCTTAAATATTGACGACCACCTGGCTATTGTACCATATGGAAGGGCATTTTCTCCATAAACTAACTCTAGATCCGTTTTTTTTTTCAAATAGCCCACAAATATTGCAATAAGCTCTTTGCTCCGCATCTCGGCCATGTTTACAACCAGTTTACAAAACCACATGTATTTAAATTACCTGCTAAAAGTTTATTGCACGTGCAAATTGTGCGAACATAGACTTGGTTAGAAATATCAATAATCTTTCCAACGGTATATTATACATGTACTTTTACGTATATTATACTGTATAATACATGTACTTTTACCTGCAAGTCATGGTTAAATTCAGGTGTTGCCACTTATTCAAATATGACCCTCGTATAATTAATTCTTAAAAATGTCATTTTTTACAAATGGTAAACCTTTGTTAAAATATTGGTAACTTTCTATGCCTTTCCATTAAAATGATTTTGATATCTGGTTAAAAAGTTTTACAGGATTTGAAAAGTATAAAAATATGATTCATGACCTACTCTGGAAATCTAGAAAATTGCCAAACCCCCTATTGAATATAATACCCCTTTTTCGAAACTTTAGGACCATTCTCTGGTAAAGAATGGATTCACGCTCACTTTATGAGAAATATAGTGAGGAAGGTGTGGGGAAAATATCTGTTAAAATGATAGGCTTAGAAATTTAAAATTTCACTATTATTAGGGCAAACTAATCATAAGGCAAATATATTCATAGAGCATGCCCAAGTAAAACTTACGGAGAGGTATCCTTCTATAGAGGTTAAATTTTTTATGAAGTCATTCTTTGGGTAAAATTAATACTGTTGCTGTAAAGAGGAAATTGTTCTACATGGGAACCTCTATGCAGAGGTTGAGCTAAGTTCAGAAGGGGAGATAACTTAGCAGGATTGTAAGCAATTTTTTTGGTTTAAACATAATTATTTAACTTAGATTGCGAAACAAGTTATGTCCACTTATATTAATCACTTTCAAGCCCCTTTTCTGGAATATGTCGTATGAAGAAACATGGTTGTGACCCGATTAGGGCTCGTACCCATGATCCCCGTGTTGAGAGGCAGACACCTTAATCACTTGGCCACCACTCCCCTCATAATTATGTGAGGAGGTATATATCCAGAGAGTACAGAAAAACTAGTATAAACTTTATCTGACCTTTTATAAGTATAATTCCATGCAAGAATGTGAGCGTTGAAAAAAAGAAAAAGAAACTATAGATACATCAATGTACAACTGTCACAGTTTTCTAGGTTTATTATTAAATTTTCATTATAGATAAGAGAAACAAAAATCATACATATTGGCAATTGCACCATATATCTTATTTCACTTTTACATATGTTTTAGTACCAAAGATACAAGAATGAAGTCAAAGAGAAAATAATTTAAGTCAATTAAATAGCAACCAAATATACCCATGCAACCAGTGCAGACCAAGATCAGCCGGCACATCTGTGAAGTCTAATCATGGTCTGCACTGTTCACTATTCAGTCAGTACATACTTTGAAATATTCACCAAAAATGATGAATGGTTTCGTCCAAATTGACATATGAACAATTCCTTTTAGGTATTTGATAGGATTAGGATTCATAATTCCTGAAAATGGAGAAAATTAAATTCTTGATAAAAAATATAAGTCTTAACCATGTTATAAAAGTGTTTGGTTAATATATTATCATTATCAGACCTGTCAAATTTAAATGAATGTAATATACATTGTTCAGTGGAAGTGTGTAGGCCACAAAATCCTGGTCTATATCATGAATGCAATACACTATGTTCAGTGTTTAGGCACAAAAAATACATGTACTTATTATAGGTAGGTAGGTAAGAATTTCTTTTTTTCCTCAGAAATTTTTCTTTTACATGATTTAATATATGCGTATATACTGTTAGGAAAACATTTTGAAAATGCGGAAAAGCAAGTCAGAGACTTCTAGGGTCAGCTGTTAAAAGAAGAAATATTTGAAGAGGGATGTTAAACTTAACTTACTTTTGGCCTTGCCATCGGTACATACAAAACTAAATGTTGAATTTACTGAAAAATAACTAAAAACATGACTAACTATTGTATACAATTCATACTGTCTAAAACAAGAGGGCCATGATGGCCCTAGATAGCTCACCTGATTTATCAAACTCATCCAAACAATTACCTAGACAAGCATTCTGACCAAGTCTCATGACAGGTGAGTCAAAAATGTGACCACTACAGTGTTAACAAGGATTATCCATATTTGAGCAGTGCGACCTAGTTTTTTACCCAGCGTGACACATATTCAAACTTGACCTAGAAATCATCAAAACAAAACTTTTAGACCAATTTCAAGGATACTTGGATCAAAACAGTAGCAACTAGAGTGTTAACAAGATTTTTCTATTTTTAGCTCCGGTGACCTAGTTCCACATGCGATTTCGAACTAATCCAAGCAATTACCTATACAAGCATCCTGACCAAGTTTGATGATAATTGAGTCGAAAATGTGACCACTAGAATGTTAACAAGGTTTTTCCATATTTGGGCGGGGTGACCTAGTTTTTTTTCATCCAAGATGACCAATGTTCGAACTTGACTTAGAAAATCATCAAAACAAACTTTCAGACCAATTAACAGAATATTTGGATCACAACAGTAGCCACTAGAGTTTAACAAGGTTTTTCTATTTTTAGCTCCTGTGACCTAGTTTTTCATCCGAGATGACCCATGTTCGAACTCATCCGAGCTATCACCTAGACAAGCATCTTGATCAAGTTTGATGATGATTGATGCAAAAATGTGACCACTAGAGTGTTAACAAACGTTTTTCTATTTTTAGCTCCGGTGACCTACTTTTTCATCCGAGATGACCCATGTTCACACTCATCCGAGCTATCAACTAGATAAGCATCCTGACCAAGTTTTGATGATGATTGATGCAAAAATGTGACCGCTAGAGTGTTAACAAGGTTTTTCTATTTTTAGCTCCGGTGACCTACTTTTTCATCCGAGATGACCCATGTTCGAACTCATCCGAGCTATCACCTAGACAAGCATCTTGACCAAGTTTGATGATGATTGATGCAAAAATGTGACCGCTATAGTGTTAACAAGGTTTTTTCTATTTTTAGCTCCGGTGACCTACTTTTTCATCCGAAGATGATGACCCATGTTCGAACTCATCCGAAGCTATCAACTAGATAAGCATCCTGACCAAGTTTGATGATGATTGATGCAAAAATGTGACCGCTAGAGTTGTTAACAAGGTTTTTCTATTTTTAGCTCCGGTGACCTACTTTTTCATCCGAGATGACCCATGTTCAAACTCATCCGAGCTATCACCTAGACAAGCATCCTGACCAAGTTTTGATGATGATTGAGGCCAAAAATGTGACCTCTAGAGTGTTAACAAGGTTTTTCTATTTTTAGCTCTTGTGAACCTAGTTTCTCATCCGAGATGACCCATGTTCGAACTCATCCGAGCTATCAACTAGATAAGCATCCTGACCAAGTTTGATGATGATTGAGGCAAAAATGTGACCGCTAGAGTGTTAACAACTAAATGTGAACGGACGACGGAAGGACGGACGACGGACAATCATCGATCCTAAAAGCTCACCCTGAGCATGCTCAGGTGAGCTAAAAATCACAAGTTATGTAAAAGCTATGTCTACATTTTATTTAATAAAAAATTATAATAAATAAATCACAAAATTTTAGTAAATATCTTCTGCAAACTCTGAAGTTTTTCTAGCTAGCAAAAAACTCTGATTTAAGGACAACACATTACTTTTAGGATAAGAGAACAAAAGTGGCCTTAATCTCTGACAAATATGTAAAATGTTAAACTTGAAAAAAAAAAGAATTTTTGTTGAAAGATATAGAAAGTGTCATGCTATACTGTTACCAATACAAGGTTTGTGGAGATCAAGCCACTGCTTGATGAGAAGAAGATTTTGAGGTTTTCATTTCCCTTCCGGTGGGTCAATTTGTTACATTTATGTAACTTTTGAAGAGGTCTACAAGATCATAGAGCACTGCAGTTTCTGAGAAGAAGATTATTTTGAATGATTTAGTCTATTAATAGCTCATGTGAACTTCTTGTTTTACATGTTCAATGTTCACTACACTTGAACCATTTTTACAGCTGAAAAGAGGGTTTCTGTTTCAACTATCACATAACAACAAGCCAAAAACAATACAACAGAATGATGGGGGAAAAATTTTTAACATTTTTTTTAAAAATTTTTTGTTAAAAAAACAAAATTTGGGCGTATTTTTAGTTTAAAACCCAAAATTTTTATCAACGTAAAAAGCATGTTAAAAAATCTGTTTTCCCCAATTTTGCTAGGGGTTTAAAAAACCCAAACAAAAAGGGGCCTCAAATTTTTGATTTTTTGTTTTAACTGTTGGGGAAAAATTAGGCAAAATCCCTACTGCCTTTCTCTCTCCGAGTGATTTTAAAACAAAAATTTAAACCTTTTCTTGGGGGGGTGTCCTTTTCCCCCTTTTAACATCAACCAGAGCTCTTCGCTTTGGTAACTCAGGGGTCTTACTGGTAAAAAAGTCATCTATCATATCATCATCGTCGTCGAGATTAACTCCCTCTTTTTGTAATACATTATCATTGGCTGTAAGAATGTCATCTATATCATCATCGATATCTCCGTCTAAGTCAGGTATTTCTATATCATCCAAATTCTCCGTCAGGTCCCATGAGATATCTGTCTGTTTCAATGTGTTGCCCTGGTAACCAGGAGAATTAACTTGACTGCCTCCCTGGTTACCAGTGTCTGTCAAGTCAGGTAACTCTAGATCAGATGTATCTGAGAAAAAAAAATAAACAATCAGAAAATAGTAATTTGTCCTTTTTTTTTTATAAAATGCTTTGTAGTTTTTGCTTAAAATGAAGAATTCATGAAAAAAATCAAGAAAATATAATTTATTACTTTCTTGATAACTAACAAAAGCTGACGATTCCATGGACTTTCCAAATTTGAAAAAAAAACACATTTTTTTCCTTCTTTCTTGAATATAAAAATTGGTTTGACAGAGGGAATATGTGATGCTCAGGTCAAAGTATGCAATGATTGCTAATATAAGCCCAAACAGTGCCATGACCATGCTCCTTTATTCTAACAAGATAAAATTAAATCCAGCTTCTTCAAAATTGAAGATATTTGAGTCCATTTTCAGTTACCATGCCAACTTTCCAGCAGTCATTTGAGCCGCGTCATGACAAAACCAACATAATGGGTTTGCGACCAGCATGGATCCAGACCAGCCTGCGCATCCGCGGGGTCTGATTAGGATCCATGCTGTTCGCTTACAAACCCTATTACAAGTAGAGAAACTGATAGCGAATAGCATGGATCCATGCTGGTCGCAAACCCATTATGTTGGTTTTGTCATGACACGGCTCATTTATCAGTGATTATTTTCATTTTTAAAGCTATAAAAAGATCACCTTATTTATGTGTTTAGTACCACATTATCATTATGAAAACCTGGATTTAAACTTACATACCCTAAAGTTTATGACTTGTGGCTGTTTTAAGTTATAACATCATTCTTTAAGTTATTCAACAACTTTCCAGGTTTTACTGCTAGAATATGGTTCTAAACACCTTTATTGTGATTTTATTTCAAACATATTATATAAGGAGGTGGTAATGAAGAACAATGGCCTTCTGCAAGGTAGATATACAGCTTTTCTGATAATGGAACAATATATCCCAAATAGGATTTGAACCCAAAGCGATTTTGAGTAATTGGATGTAAATCTGTAACCCTAACCACTAAGCTTAACCCCACTCCACCTCACCTCCCACCAATTCCAGTACAATTGAATTTTTTTTTATTAAATTTTACTTACACACAGGTTCTTCCTTTACTTCTTTTGGGGGAGGTGTGTCTTCAATTGCCTTTTTGAACATTTTTCTGATTTCCTCACTCAGTGGGCTACGCTCCATGACCAGTGACCGTGACAAAAAATCTTTTGTGACAGGAGTTTTTGTGACTGTAAAAATAAATAATTTTATATTTAATATTATAAAGTTCAATACAAATAAGAGTCTAGAGAAGTCAATACTACAGTGATCTTTGTAAACAAAACAAGTAATTTCAAATTACATTGCAACCTCTGCAAAAATGGCCCTCCGTACATCAATTACTTTTTATAACAACAGTATTTCAATATTTTTTTCTGAAGTAAGACAATAAATTTAACCTCTCCAGAGCATACCCTTGCAGCCACAACCAACATCTTTGTCTCTGAAAGGGTGTAGCTCTGCCAAGGTTGTACAGTATTTGATATGCATTTTTACTATCTTTGTATGTCGAGTACAACTCATTTCATATCCAAAATATACACATGTATCTCCTCATGTACACCATACTGTTGTAAATGATAATGCAACCCATTTAACAGATTGACTTATCTTAAAAATTGCTTGAAGATACAAAAAGGCTTGAAAAAAAGAGGCAAAAACAACAACAAAATCATCCAAAATATTAATTAGTCTCTGTTTAACTTGCATAAATGACATGATCTCAGCATACCTGGTGAGGGTTTTCCCTGTAGTGACATAGATAGGAAGCCAGGTGATTGGTTCTCTATGCTGGTGAATTGCTGATTCATGGGTAAACTATATGACAGTTTATCTTCACCTAAAATAAATCATGACATTCTTTATATTTGTACTTGTTTTCTTATTGAGGTTTTATACATAGAAATCTAGATAAACAAAATGTGTTGTTTTACATATGAGCCGGGTCACGACAAAACCAACATAATGCATTTGCGACCAGCATGGATCCAGACCAGCCTGCGCATCCGCGCAGTCTGATCAGGATCCATGCTGTTCGCTTACCAACCCTATTACAAGTAGCAAAACTGATAGCGAACAGCATGGATCCTGATCAGACTGCGCGGCTGGGCAGGCTGGTCTGGATCCATGCTGGTCGCAAACGCATTATGTTGGTTTTGTTGTGACTCGGCTCATATGTATGCTGCAACTGATTTGAAAATTTTAGGAATTGACATAAGGTCACACTACCATACATGAGTTAAGTGAAATGGACAAGAACCGGATTTTCGGCTTTTTTCTTCATAAGATTAGTTTCTTTTTTTTCCTTATACATAAGGGGTGTGGAATTTTGGAATTTTTCCACTTTCCCACAGACAAGTAAGACTGAAATTTCTACTTGTCCACAACTAAAGTTCACAATTAAGTACACTTAGAATTCCTGCATTTTGCTTTTCTTGTCCGCGAAGAACTGCTTCGTGAAAATCTACTTGTCTAACAGCAAAACGTCCCGAGTCGGACATAGTAATTCTGCATCCCTGCATTACTGGTAAGATTTTATTGTTCTTATTATTCAAGTGATTTTGAAACAAATTTTGTTATTTTTTAATTAGTTTTATTGATTGAACATGCTGACATGTACCGATATGTGGCTGGAGTAATTCTACCTTACGTCAACAATCTTATCTCAAGTTAAGTATTTTACAATACAAATCTGTTAATGTCCCAGTTAGAGAAAAGACACCCGAACTTGACCGTCTTTTCTTGGTGCCAGTGCAGTTCTTATTTAACAGTATAAAGAAGAATAGCCCAAACCTCTGCTTGGTGTTTGAAAGCTTCTATCTATAATGATTGCCTCCCTTGGTGAGTTCTCCAGTGATGGGAATCTTTCTTCATCTATAAACATGTCCGGACTGTCAGGAGAAGATAACTCTTTCGGTGTTCTCTCTACATAACAATATAAAGATCATAAAATATATGAATAATATATGTTTTAGATTGCCCTCTGTAGAACGCCACTATTGAAAGAGAAATGGTTTTGGTGTCTGTGAGGAGGTTTTTCTTGTAGAGTTCTAAAATTCATGATATATATTGTAGTAAATAGGTTGCACAATATTTACTTAATTTTGACTTGACAGACAGTATGAATACAAGGCTATGGTCTATGCAACTAGCTCTAAAAGGCATTAAAAAAAAGATAAGAAAGTCAGACAGACATTGCAAAGGTCATACATGTATGGTGAGGTTGCCCCTCCATACATTATTTCGAGTACAAGCAGCCACATGTGTAGAAGCACCTATGTTCTGAAAGTTTGGTGGATTATTTCGTTACAGTCGCTGGTGGGATCAGAACCAAAAGCAGTAAGGGGCAGGTGGTTTGAAGTAATGACAATTATTTAAACAATTATATGGAACAATTGGCAAGAAATTTTTATAAAACCTGATTTTCCATCAATACGACACATTTGAAACTTCAAAAATGCCCATTCACAAAGGCATATTTACAGTGACCTCGACCTTTGGTATAATGACCTTAAGAAGTGTAGGGGTTATCTAATGTCCATGAGCAATGCCCCTATCAAGTGTTGTTTTTTTTATTCAGGTAAGGCCTCTATACTGTTGCTTTGACTAATGACCTTTTAATCAATAGGGTCATCTTCTGACAATGGAAAATATCAATAAGTTAAAGCTTACTATTTCTGAGTTCTCATTTATACAGGATGTTATAATGGCCTTGACCTTTGACCAAAGGACTTAAAAATCAGTACGGGTCATTGACTTGTCCTGAACAACCCTCACACCAAATCTAAGGGCTGTATTCATTATTTACCAAGCTTTTAGTGGTCAAGGCATCAATATGACTCATCTTCTATTCAGAATTAAACCCCAAACTAATAATCTTAGGACTTAGGACTGCCAAAATATTGGTTAGACAAGCTACATTGAGCATGATCACTGGCCTTTAAACCAATGGTGGTCTCCTAAATGGAAATTTCCATACAATGTTGCACAAACTTAGGCTAAATTCTTTTTAAGCTATCAATCAGACAAGAGTAATAGGACATACAGATGTACAGACACAAAAACAGATCACAGTATTTGCTCCATTATCTATTATCTCTGGGGGCAGAAAAAGCCCATAAAGAGCCAATGCTCTGCATAATTCCATGACCTTTGATTACAGAAATGCATTTAATTCCCTCATATTTTAAGAGGCTCATTTCATTACGGTTTTATCTGGTTTCTTCAATGAATACAATAAGATATCAACACTCATTTAAAACATCTACAAAATGTATGCACATACCCGAGACCTGCCGTGGTGAACTATGTAGTAAACTTTTATCTATGACAATAGGTTGTTCAGTAGATCGTACAGAAGTCTCGGACATATTATCATCATCGTCTACCTCTGGTCCAAGTACATCATCTATCTCAACATCCTCTCCTTCGTTGTCATAACTCCTAAAACATAAAAGTTGTTCGTCACACAAACCACTCAACTATTCATATCAACCGTAAGAAAAGGGGCATAACCCTTTACAAGGTTAACTAGAGAGTTATAAGACCTGAGCACATATTGTTAGATAATCACAGAGAACAAGGCTTGAACAAGCATGTTTAGTTTGAACACTTTCCCTTCAGTAGTTTCGGAGTTACCAACTTGCACACAAAAACTTAACTGAAGTATGATAATGACGCGGACGCCTGAGTTTATAAAGATTTTTTGACAGGTTATATGGCCCACTATATAACAGTTGCAAAAATGTATAGCCTGAGCTGCTATTCCAGTATTCTATTTTTATACAATTGTCTATACATGGCCAATTAACCTGACCAAAAATCTTTACAACTAATTTGTAACATTGCAATTTTTTTTTTATTCCAGAAAAATTGAGAATTACTTTATTGACTGACAGTAGGCATGTATATAGATTATGTTAATGTTACAATCCAATAAATAGCCACATTTCAAATGTGCAGTATTATAAAATACATCATTACAATCATTTATTTCTTTCCATTAAACATGTGCTATGTAATAATCACAATAAGTTGATTATATTTGCCTGTATTCATTATCAAATCAACTGACAGGATGAAAAGTTACTATATAGTAATAGAGACCACTAATTTGTTGGGCAAAGATAAAAAAAAAAATCAAGATAAGGAAAATTAAACACATGAAGAAAATCTGAAACTTCCATAATAGTTAAAAAAACTGAAAAATAGAAATATTTTTGAGCTGGCTGAACAGAAAACAAACCTGTTTGGTGTCATATGAGATGGATATTGGACGGTATCTTCCTCTAAATCAATGAAACCATCTTGTGTGACCTGTCTTATACCCTCTTCAATCATTCCTTCAACAATATCATCATTCACTTCTTTCACATCCTCTGTCCACCTTGACCTATCTTCTCTACCATCTCTCCTTGTCTCTACAGGGTTACCATCCAGGTCAGTTTCAGCTTCAACAGTTCTCCCTTGACCGTCGTCTCCAGTGTCAGTTTTATCTCCTGTTATGTCATCTATAATTCCCATACCATCCGAGATATTACACAGATCTATCTCAGGTACACAAAACTTTTTGAAATGAGGTTATATGGCCCAGTTTATATTGACTACTATATAACAGTTGCAAAATGTAACCTAGCCTGAGCTGCTATTCCAGTATTTATACAATTGTCTATACATGGCCAATTAACCTGACCAAAAATCTTTACAACTAATTTGTAACATTGCAATTTTTTTTTTATTCCAGAAAAAACATGAGAATTACTTTTCATTGACTGACAGTAGGCATTGTATATAGATTATGTTAATGTTACAATCCAAAAATAGCCACATTTTCAAATGTGCAGTAAAAAATACATATTGATCATGATTTCTGTCCAAAACATGTTATTTAAGATCCAATAGTTGATTAAATTCCTGTAATTCATATAAATCAACTACAGATGAAATTACTAATAAGAATAGAGACCTAATTGTTGGGCAACAGAATCTATCAGATTGATTAACAACATGTTGAAAATTTAACCGTTAATAGAAAAAACTGATATAATGATTTGAAGCTGGACAAAAACATTAACTGTTGTATGTGGTATGAGGGATTATTGACGATCATCTCTAAATCAAGAGAAACCATCTTGTGACTTCTTATACCTCTCTCATCCATACAACTATCATCACACTTCTTTAAATTCTCACTTTTGATACTTCTCTCACACTGCCCTTGCCTACAGAGGTATCCTCCACATCAGTTTCTGTTCAACGTTCTGCCTTGACGTCGTTCCATTGTCAGTTTACTCCTTTAGATCTATAATTCCCTACATCGATTACCAGACATCCAGCCCTTTATTTAAATTCTTCTGCATTATTTTCAATTATGTTAGTATAAAGTATTTTTGGAAACTGGAATCTTCTTCATGTCGGCACGTTTCCCTATGTTAAGCTTAAAAAAAAAAAAAAAAAATTCCGTTTAAAATTACAATTTATTTCATTTGTTGTTGGTTTGAAGTCCAATGTTGCAGTCATATACTGTGTAAGACCCCCGGCCCCTTCATTCACTTAAAAGCCTAGCCATCAATCATAAATTTACCTACAATAAAGAATACAGCCGACCTTTGTTTCTCTACATTTGGAAATTTCCCTAAGATAAGTTATTTAAGATGAAAGATGGAAACGTTATTAATTGCTAGTGGTGAAACTTGTCAAGAAAAAAAACCCTAACCCCCTTTTTGTAAATATTTTAAAAATCAGCTGACATGTACCAGATAGTTATAAGATTATTTTAGAAACATCTGATTATACCTGAATTAAATGGAGACAAAATTTTCCCTTCACCCATGATTTCTTCCACAAGAAGATCAGATGGTGTTTTTCTGCCTGTTTCACTCGGAAGCTGATGCACATTGTCATTTGTAAAGTTACCGCCTCTACTAGCAGAAGACACCGATTTCAATGACCTGTTTGAAGCAGACGACTTATTTGACCTGTCTGTAAGTGTACGGCATGATGATGCATTCGATCTATCTGAGCGTGCAGACAATGGCCGTGATGAAGAGGAACCAGTCTGTACTTCCTGTCCGTCTGCTTCCAGTCGCAGACTGTCTCCAAGCTGTAAATTTTCCATCATTGTTCTTGGACTGGTCACTTTAGTGAAAGACTGTTCCCTACTTGTGTTCTGTTTTTCAGAACTTCTGCTTGATTTGGGCGTAGATTTGACTGAAGCTTTACTGCCTGCAATATAAATCATTAAACATTACTAACCACCTAATTTATGTTTGTTTGATTGAGTTTTAAGTCACATCAAGACAGTATTGGTCATATTGCTATGTTCCAGCTTTACTGGTGGAGGAAAACCTTTGTTGCCCTTCCGTGCATTATTTCAGGCACAAACGGGCACCTGAGTAGAACCACGGACATTCCTTAAGCTAGCAGGATTACTTCCTCACATGGAAGAATACAAGGACCCTTTGGGGATTCGAACCCACAGCTTTGCGGGGCAAGTGGTTTGAAGTCAATTACCTTAACCACTCAGCTACGGACACCCGTCTAATTTATGTGAACTGGCATAACATTTTTCAGAATGTAACAACTGGCTGACAATTTTTAAACACATTTACTTCTGACCTGTATTTTTTCTAAAATACCTGTATATTTGAACTTTAAATATAAATTAAAATTACTGTATGACAACTTAGTACTCATACACAATTTACCATTCAAGGGTCTATAACTCCATCAAAATTCATGCAATGTGGTATCTGAACTTCTTCTTAATCAGATATATTATTCAAACAAAAATTATAAACAACAATAGAAATCATCAGGAAATATATGTTGAACATGAAATTTTGTTATCCAAAAGATCAGTTCTCATATTCGACAAATAGTTTTTGAAATACACATTTGACTCAGTATCAAGCAGATCCCTCTTATGTACAATAGATTAAGACTGGACAGGAAGTTGCTAACAGACAAACAGACAGAGCAGTCGCAAAAATAATGTCCTTGCAGACAAATAAAAATATGGAAAATCATTTTTGTATGATGCATTAATAACTTACTAGCAGTACTTCTTGCAGAAGTGGGTCTTGATGACTGGCGTGAACTGGTTTGTGACCTTGATGGTCTGGGAATAGATGACATATCCTCTGGCCTTAAACAAATAACAAAAATATATAAAATAAATAACTATAACAGACTGTTTAAGACAACAGGACAACTGGTAATTTTGATCTGCAATCATTCATACATAAATTTTTTCCATCTGTTAACTAAGGCATAAGAAAATACAGATTTTACCATCAAGGATAACAAAGAATAGCTCTATAATCACAAGGCTTCAAATGATTTATTTCTCTTATGAATTTTGAAGTACTGGCAATTGTTTTGGAATTCTTTTTACTATCATTATTTACTCCTGATCAATGTTCCTAGATACTTTTACTGCTAATTTATTGTGAAATTATAGAACTACAGTCTACGCCACTTATAACGAGATCAGTTTTAACGAGGTACGGCTTACAACGTACATTCTACTGTGTCCAGGCCTTTTTCCTTCTATTTTCCTTTCATTTTTTATCGTTTATAACGAGATCGGTTTTAGCGAGATATCGGTTACAACGTACATAATTTCGCCGTCCCATGTGTATTTTTCAGAATTTTAACGAGGTCACTTCATTTGCACATCGTCTGCATTAGTTTGTCACCTTGAGAAAAACAATGATGACCAAAAATCATATAAATGTCAATTAAGGAAGAAATTATTGACGCGTGACGAGATAATAGGTCGAGCAATTAGCGATTTGTGTCAGCGCTACGGGATAAATTGTCCTTAAGGTGACGAAAATGTCATAACAAAACAATTTCATTGAGTGATAAGCACAAAGGAAGCGGCTAATTTCTTGCGGTGTTATTCGGTGTTTGTGAGAAATGCACAGCGTGACTTTTGAAAACGAATTTTAAAATGTACATATTAATGAAAAAACACACGGGTTAGATGTAAGTTGTGTTTTCATGTTTTGTTTAAATTCTATGATAGCTAGATATATTTATATACATGTATATTTAAATCAAACAAAAACTTCTGATTGCAAAGAGTTACCTCCCATTATGTATTCTTCAAAAAGGATGCACGCGAAAGCGAAAGTAGAAATAAATGACGATTTCTCAATTTGTTCTGTCCCGGTTATTACGAGGAATCACCCAAAGTCCTGACGATCTCGTTGTATCCGGAGTGCACTGTATTTGTTTATCTTGCTCACCTATTTATAAATCTTGTTACCTTTTTTATATATTCTGGTGATCTATTTTTAAACCTTGTTTCTATCAATATATTCTGATAATCTATATATATAGATCTTGTCACTATTTATATATCCTGTATAATACAGATGTTATTCAACAAGAGCTGTCGGTAGGACAGCAACGCTCGACTATTCTTAGTGCTTGATAGTAAAAAAAAATGCTTGATACAGTTACCTCCTCCTGTTTACAGGTTGGGGTCATGATGGTGAACAAGTGTGCAAAGTTTCAAAGCCATATGTCAATGGACTTTGAAAATATTTGAACTATTACAAAAACTTTAACGTAAATTCTAAGTCAAAAAAGGGGCATGATTTTGTCAAAATGCTTGATAGAGTTACCTCCTCCTGTCTACAGGTTGGGGTCATGATGATGAACAAGTGTGCAAAGTTTCAAAGCCATATGTCAATGGACTTTGAAAATATTTGAACTATTACAAAAACTTTAACGTAAATTCTAAGTCAAAAAAGGGGCATGATTTTGTCAAAATGCTTGATAGAGTTACCTCCTCCTGTCTACAGGTTGGGGTCATAATGATGAACAAGTGTGCAAAGTTTCAAAGCCATTATAATAATGTCAATGGACTTTGAAAATATTTGAACTATTACAAAAACTTTAACGTAAATTCTAAGTCGAAAAAGGGGCATGATTTTGTCAAAATGCTTGATAGAGTTACCTCCTCCTGTCTACAGGTTGGGGTCATGATGATGAACAAGTGTGCAAAGTTTCAAAGCCATATGTCAATGGACTTTGAAAATATTTGAACTATTACAAAAACTTTAACGTAAATTCTAAGTCGAAAAAGGGGCATGATTTTGTCAAAATGCTTGATAGAGTTACCTCCTCCTGTCTACAGGTTGGGGTCATGATGGTGAACAAGTGTGCAAAGTTTCAAAGCCATATGTCAATGGACTTTGAAAATATTTGAACTATTACAAAAACTTTAACATAAGTGGTTACGCCCACGCAGACGCCGACACTGACGCCGACGCTCGGGTGACTACAATAGCTCTTCTTATTCTTATCGAATAGTCGAGCTAAAAAGCATAATTATAATGTTTGATGCTGGATATACCTTTGTTTAAGTAAATCTGGTTGTTTGAAGAGTTGGTCAGGTCCTCGTCTCACAGAATCCCTCATCTGTTCTGTAATCTGATTGGCTGCCTCAGGTGTATTAGTTACTATAGATACAAAATATACCCTCTGATTCACTCTGTTGCTAACATTTCGGCTTTAAGGAGAACATAATAAAATCTGTTCTTGCCGTAAGCCTTTCCTATACATTTGACCTTTTTTTAAATTTCTAATCAATATCCGATTATTTCAGCACATCTTATCTCTTTTTGCAGATCTCACCTTTTCTTTCACATAAAAAATAAAGATTCTTTAACATCACAAAAGAATTTTCTAATTACATGTTTTTGGCTAGATATTACAACATTTCTGTGACTAACAATGTGGTAAATAATCAACTTACCACTACTTGGTGATTTAGGAACTCCTATACCCCCTGCTGGTGTTGTGCCCCTCCCTGGGGAGAAACTTGGCTGCGGTGAGGGTCCAACCAATCCAAGGCCGAGAGACTGAAAATGTCAGTCATTTTAATTAATTTTCTGACTTAAAAAAGAGTTCACAGCTAAGCAGCTTCCAGACTAAGCATTATAACCAGTTTTTGGAAATGAAATAATCTTTTAGGAACAGTGTTCTCTCCAATCATTTACAGTATACAATGATTTTTTTCAGCATTGTAAGAAGAGTGGCAAGTCGATTTTGGAATGGAAAAATTGCACTCCAATTCTTAGTACTACCATATTAGTGTTACTTTATAATTATTTTAAAAATTCAAGTAATACTATTACTAATTACCTTTATTTCTAGTAAAAATGAATGACAATTTTCTGCTTAAATAAAAAGAATTGCAAAAAATACAGTCTTTAAATTTCAAATATTATTTGCATGTATTTTTTTTTAAAGGGAACTGTTTGCCAAAAGGATGGAAAATAACCATAGAATGTCGCCAAATTTTGGTAAAACAACATATAAATCTTATCCTCGATGGCTTTATACTTTTTGTATGAGTGGTTAAGGTAAGACAACTTAAATCACTTGTCCCTCATCACAGTGAGTTTGAATTCTGTGAGCAAGCTATCCTGTAAGCTTTTTGAAGGTTGGTGGTTCTACTCAGGCACCCATTCTAGCGGTTAACCCTGAAATAATGCATAAAGGGGCACCTGAAGTATTTCTCCATCAGCAAAGCTTGAAAGTTGCCATATGACCTTTCCATTGTCTGTGTGACTTAAATCCAACAAACCAAAACAAATTGTACTGGTGGTATATGCCTAATACTATCACTACCCACAATAGTAAATGATTCATCTGAAACTTTGTAGGGGCCTGAGGTAAGGTTTGGTTTAAACAAATTTATCTAAGCTCGATTGGGAAACAAGTTCTTGCAACTTATATTAATCACTTTTGAGTCCGCTTCCTGGAACCAACCAATACTAGTGTCATACGAAGAATCATGGTCGTGAACTGATTAGGGCTGGAACCAATGATCCCTGGATTGAGAGGCAGACACCTTAACAACTAGGCCACTGCTCCCCTATATAAGGTTTGAACTACTGGGATTAACCAACAACTGGTCTTATTATGTGTATAAATGAGGGACACTGAAATAATACAGCATTGTTTTCCACAAGTGTTTGCATTACTATGCCTGAATGGCTAATTATTTGACAGACTTGGTTTATAAGCTGATCGTAACACATTTTTGGTCATATCTCTGCAGTTCGTCCACCTAACCAGCTTTTCTGGATAACTAACCAGTAATTACCAGTTTCTCTACAAGTGACATAATACTAATCATACATGATTTCTAAATTAGCGGTGAGAGACAAAAGACTATTAGACTCCATGTCTATCTGAGATCCACAGTCACAGAGAAATTTTTTGCTTAACCTGAAGTTTAAACCATTCACCCTTGGCTCACAAATCCGATACTCTCCCTATAAAGCTAAGCTAGTATATGCCCAAATAGCTAGTATCAATTTAACCTTAAAGTGTGGTTTTGTAGATTACCGTAGATAAAAAGAAACACCTAGCACCAATATTGTTCTAGACTATCTAAAACAATACAAACTATCATAATTCTGTCTTAAAAGTATACTGAGTTACTACACTATTGCTTAAACTCTTACATTCGCTATACTTGTATAATGGAGTTTGCCCTAATTTTGAATTAGGAACAGTCTGTTGTCCCAAATTAAATTCTTGGATTCCACCAATATATGTTTACTCAAAGGTAGTTTTAAAACTATTGCAGGACAGCAAGAAACGAGGAACAATTAAGTTTTTGCTTTAACACAACTTTATTAAAAGTAAATCTTTTATGTGCATGAAACAGTTACAAAAATTTTTTTGCATTTCTAAACAATGAACAATTGCAAAAAAATAAGAAATTATGAACACATTTTAAAATAAAGCACAATTTTTGTAGTTAACATTATTTAACAAATATATGAACACATATTTTTTTTTCTGAACACATATTGGTGGAATCCTCAAATCACTTTAAAACTGATGTTTTTTAATGTAACATTTTAAACAGTGTAACTCTATGGTACAAGTATTGCATGGGTAAATGTTAAAAAGATCACAAATCTGAAAACCCTGAATTTAGTATTATTTCAATTGATTTTATACAGAAAAAGGGAGCTTACATATATAAAAAAAAACCAAACCCTGAACTTCAGACAAATGCCTGAAAACTTGTACCCATGATATTGTCAAGTGCAAAAATAAAGTAACTCAAGTTACTAAATGGCACTTATTTTCTGCATTAATGACTTCATATTTGAAAAACCCATTTTAAATTAATAAACCCATTTTAAATTAGTAAGTGCGTAGAAATTTGGATACACAAATACAATTTAGTAATTCCAGCAATATTTTAACTTTACATATTAACAATTAAAGCATTAAAACAAAATTCAAGCAATTTTTTTCTGGGACTTTTGCTATTGAGATATGGTAGTTTTGCTATTGAGATATGACTAAATTTATTCAATAAATATCTTCTTTTTAACAGGATCAAAAATCCTCAAGAATGTAAAAAAGCATCTTGTCAAGCATAAAATTCACCAACAAAAGAATACTGGTGCCAGGAAAATTGTCAATTTGTGCCAATATAAACAATAAAGGGCTATAATTTTGCCAAAAATTATCAAACCAACAGAAAATGCTGGTGAAAATGTGTCAAATAAACCCAGACAAGTCAAAGGAAAATAGTTATTCTTAAGGAAAACAGAATCTTACACGTTTTAACGTCCCTTTGGGACTTCTGTAAAATTTAAAATCAGATTCTACTACAGTTTTAACAGATTTTAGATCACTGTTCACAAACTTTTCACAACTGCTATATGACCTTGAAACTTTTTCCACAACTGATTTATCATTAGAATTAGAGGTTTTAATCATATCAAACTTTTCACTTGTGAGAGCATATGCACTATTAGGACCATCTTGAGACAAAGTTTCGGTACAGAAAGTTATGACATCATCATCGGCACTTTTTGTTTCAACATACTTATAAACTTTCCATTTACATTCCCCTGAAGTGCATGGCGATGAATCTTCAATATTAGAATCTTCCGAGAACGACATATCCTTAAGTGGGGAGAATTTTTTACAAAGTCTTGGACTAAGTGGTGAATTTAGAAGTTGCAGGCTATCATTAAAGTTATCAGTTTCAAGTGCTTCTTGAGTCATGTCCTTTAAGGGGAGACAACTCTGAAGGGAACATATTTGTCTTCCTGACATATTTAAAACGCCACCTTGAGGCACTTCCTCTTCAATATGCATATCTTTTAAAGGTCTGAAAGATTTACATTGTAGAGAAACCTGTTTAGACTTTGGTAAAGGAGCGAAATTTACCGCCTCTGTCAACACATCAGTTTCTTTATTACTACTACAGGCATATACATCTAAAGTGGGCTTTGCAGCAGAATCTAAGAGTTCATCAAACACTGTACCGTGATCTGGTAAACTCGATACTTCTGAATTCTTGAAGGACATGTAACCTGAGCTCATTGACTGACCAGCTAGTGATAAATCTGTGCAAGGACCTTCTACAACACTAGAATGACTCAAGAATTCACCAGTTAAAGAATCCGGATGAAGATTTTCTGACCTGAGCATTTGTTCAAACTCATGCACCTTTTCTATAGTAACCTTTTCATTGTTTAACCTCGAAGACATAGTCGACATACCTGAAGAGAATAGCTTTGAACTACAAAGATCGGAAAAAGCCTCAACATTACAAGATTGTTCACCATTATATTTAGTCTGACCAGGAGTAGAGAAAGATGACACATCAGGACTTCTAGCACTAGAAACCATAGCAACCGCAGTTTGACCACATACACACTGCGGTCCGCATTCTGCGCAAATACTACTATCCCCGTCAACAATGGGATGTTCTTGTAAGACTTTTAATTTATCAACTGCTACCGAGTCACAATTAGCATTAGTTTCAATGTCAAGAGGACTACTAAGGGACCTATTCCAACAACCTGACTTTTCATTAACCTTATTTTGTGATTTTCTAACACGAGTTTTTTCTACTTCAGCTGTGTTACACTGTTTAGTATTCTTATCCTTTTCTTTGACAGCCTTTTGTTTAAACAGTAAATTCTTTCTTTCTTCTGCATTATTACCATTTGCCTTTGAATTACTTTTTTCCTTAATATCAGTTCTATATTTAGATGAAAGATTTTCAGGATTTTTGTTAACATTTCTGCCAAGCTCTGGTATATAGCTAGTCCTATTTTGAGCACTAGTACAGTCTAGCTTACAAGCGGATAATTGCCGAGGAGTTCGATTAGTCTTATTACAGGCATTCATTTTGTCACACTCAACACGGTGGGATGCACTTACTGTAGTTCTGATAGATTCGGGTGACTTGTCCTGGAATAAGGCATGGTCTAACTTGGTGCGTAGTTTCTCTATTGAAGATTTCAACACTGGTATACGTTCTGACATCTGCTGTCTGTGAAATAAAATAAATAATGAGACTGTTTAAAGGAGCTCAACTGTGGTCAAAAAGCCTGAAAACTTTGACATTCTTACATAGATCAAGCAAAATGGAAAAATCTGCAAAGGATTAATAATCAAAGATACTCAGACTTAAATTTTCTTATTAATGTTTTGTGTGTGCCCAATTTGAATGAAAAGCTTTGCAATGCTTTACATTTTTAGGTTACTTTGCTCCATAAAAATGCTCGTTCTGGGAAGGGGTGAGGGACTGATCTGAACATTTCCACGCAAGTAATTGGTTCAGACCTTCATTGAATTATACAAAAATCTTGGAAAATTATTTCCAGTTTTGTCAAGTCAAAATAACCTCATTGTAATCCCTTTAAACAGCAAATTATTTTTTTGTTTTTAGGCATATTATTGTCATAGTTGAGACAGACACAAGGTTCTCTCTTTTCTTTTGCATTATTTTTGGCATACTCCAAAGCCTGTGTAAAATCTGAATCATGTTCTAAATGAATAGGGTTGGTCACATATAAACACCATGGCTTCACTAAAGAAATACCTCTGATATTAACCTGTATATAAACTGGTAGTACAACCAATTTTATTGTAGAGCAAATGATAATAAAACTGATTAAATCCTCAAATTGGTCTGATGAATACAGACAATAGTGTATCTTTTAGATATTCATAATTTAAGGATAAATACCTAAGTATCTTTAAGATAGTCATAATTTGAGGGCACATACCTTAGTGTTTGTGCATTCTGTGCATAGTTTTGTTGTACATGTACTTGTGATGTCAATTTTTGAATTTCCTCTTCAAATTTTGGCACGCCCACTGTAACAAATATTACAATTAATCAGAAAAGTATCCTCCCTTTTTACCACTTACAAACTTGTCTTACTTTTGTTTGTATCATAGTTGAAGACCTTTCTATTGAAAATGTGTAGGTGTTAAATCAGCAGAAAAGGCTTAAGAACTTTCCATTTAACATATTCAATCAGAATCATATCATTTCCAGCATTATTTGTGAATTAAGACCTCAGATACATTCCCACAAATTATTTCCGAAATCAGCATCCGAACTGAGTAGAAACATCAACTTTTTGTATGCTAGCTGAATAGTTACTTCAAATGAAACAATTCAACATCCAGTATCCAAAGTCCATGCCAGTATTTAAACTAGAACTATCACTAAATGTGATTAATACCCCCACAAGACTGCTTCAGAAATGAGGATGTTACTAGCAACAGAATACCTTGTAAAAGAATCGAAATATAGTTATGGTTGTGGGCAATTAAAGATAGTTGTGGTTCTTGTATGTTGCATTTCCTTTCAATGTAGTTGGCCATTGATGAAGTTTTATTGAATTACTCTGTAATAAGTCCAGAAAGACAAAGAAAAGGAACAAAGGGCAATAACTCTATAAATACTGAAGATAGAGTTATAGTTCTTGTGCACTGCACTTCCTCTTATTGTGCTTGACCATTGTATGAAGTTGTTTTGAATTCCAACCAGTACGTTTTAAGTTATGCTCCGGACAAGGAAAAGTATCAAAGGGCAGTAACTCTGTATTTTGTCAAAATGGAGTTATGGCTCTTGTGCACTGCACTTCCTTTTAATGTCCTTGACAACTGTATGAAGTTGTACTGAATTCCAAACAGTAGTTTTCAAGTTATGCTCTGGACAAGGAAAAGTAACAAAGGGCAATAACTCTGTAATTAGTCAAGATGGAGTTATGGTTCTTGTGCACTGCACTTCCTCTCAATGTGCTTGACCATTGTATGAAGTTATATTGAATTTCAACCATTAGTCTTCAAGTTATGCTCCGGACAAGGAAAATGCAACGGACGTCTGGACCGCCCGACCGACCACAGGGTGACTCCTATATACCCCCCCAATTACGTTTTTGGGGGTATAAAAAAAGCCAGTGCACAAGCAAGACCACTTAGCTATGTAGAACCCTATTTTATAGAACTAGCTTCACAAGCTATCTACTTATCAAATATCAAAACATACACAAAAACAACAAACTTCAAGATATTAAGCAGACTAAAACAAACAAACAGGTATACCTTCTTTGATTTTCTCCAAGTACAGGTGTAAACAGAGATTCCAAAGTTGCAGAACACTGACTAGGTTTAACTTCCCTCCTTGGTAGGTGTTATCAACATTTCTCTGTAATTGTAAATATTTCCTATATCACACACTAAGTAAGCAAAGCAAGATTCTTTATATTTTTCAAGCAAAACCTAATGCCTTTGTAATGGGAAAATATAGTGCAGCAAGATTTTAACTTTGGGATACAATAAAATAAACATTAATTCTTAACAGTGTTTAAAAGTGAATTTAACTAGGAATGTTTCTTATGAACACAGATGTCCCCATAATCCACTATTTTGTCAATCTATGGATAGGAATAATGGACAAGGGCAAATCTGTATGCCTCCCTCCTTAGCAGTGGGGGCATAAAAGGGGTGGTTTCATTTAAGGCATATACACATATGCATTACAGTAGGATCTATGCAAATACCATAATTGATGAAGCTGGTTGGGAAAAAAAAAGCATGTTAATTTTTGACAGCCATCAAGATTCAAATAGAAATTTTCAAGATTTAACATGACTAAGCCAAATATATTATTTTTTGAACAGCCAAAAAAAACCATCAAACTTTTATTCCACTTACTCTTCTGATTTCCTCGCCACATTCTCTCAGCAACATATCAGGAACTTTAACACTGATATCAGCTGCATCCAACTTGAACTTGTTGATTGTTCTCTCCACTATAGACTCTACAACTTCACGTTCCGCTGCCTCATTTCGATCAAAATCCTCCAACAGTTTCCACATATCTCTAACCTGTGTAAATATTATTAATAATTCAATTATCACGAGATTATTTTATCAGATTTACAAACATATTTTGTCCCTCATAAAGAAATAAACGAAAATTTATCTTATCTTTGAAAATAAAATATTTTGTTGTATTACATCACTTAAAGATCAATTGCCAAAAAAACACATGCACATGTTTGTATCAACAAAAAAAAATAATTAAAAAGTAAAATCATACCTGTTGGATTCTTTGAGCACGTTTTATTGTTCTTGGGTCAAACTGTGGGTCAAAATGATCACTATGGCTGCTTGGTCTCTTCCCTGGGCTGAACAAATAAACAACAAATTCTTTATTAAGATGATATTCAGTTAAGTTCATAATTTTGGGCAAGGACTTCTAAAAACCTATATGCAAGTCTTGTAAAAAAATTTGTACAGGATTTAAACTCTTAATGAGTTTCATCTTGACTTTGCTGCCTTTTAAAATAGCTAGTATTAGCTTTCACTCCTGATTCGAAGCACTCAAAGCAAGGCCTTTTCCATCTAAAAATGTTGAAAAACAACCGTATACATTGCTTTCAAGTTTATTCATAATAATCAGTTTGGAATTTTTTTTTTTTGAAATTGGAATGGGGTCTTATATTGGTAATTGAAAATGCCCTAAGTGGTGGACTACTGCATTGGACTTGGATTGGAACACTTAAATTCATTTTATTGTGTTTATTTTTAGCATAATTATACGAAAGTTCACAAAAAATCCTGAGACTTGGTTTGTTTTGTAGATGCTTTTCATTAAATCTGAAAAACCTCCCATGTTCAACACTTTGAGGGTCATCTTCACTAAATATTACGTTAAAGCAGCACGCCTCCAGATTCATGTTATTTTTCATGAAAATTTTCAAAATGTATTAAAAAGTAATATATTGTGAGGTGAACACATTAAGTACTTTAAGTATTGCAATCGGCACTTGCAATCCACCAAAAATTACCAAAAAATGGTCAATATATGCAAAAGCAGCCCTTACTGCGTTAGTAACGCAGTAGAAATATGGTGATAAAAAACTGCAGAATCAGTATTAAACCGCACATAACATGTTAAAATTAACTTAGATCTTAAATGTTTTTACCTTTCTTAAAATTTTTGTATACTTTTCTCAATTTTCTTGAAATATTTTGGCTCATCTGGAGGTGTGCAGCTTTAAAGATTATATTAAAATTCCTTTCAGCAGTCTATCATCTTCATACAAGTCTGTTTCAATATTGGTGTTAAACATTTATTTCCTGAGAAGCACTATAATAAAATGATTCACATAAATCCCCTGTTTACTTTGTGCTTATATTAATTTTATTTTTTGATTATGTATATTCCTACTGAATAATGACCCCAGAAAATTAGTGCCAATTTTGTCAAGGGAGCTAAATATTGTAAGAATTGGGAAATAACTTTCTACCAGTATAAGCATATAAAACATGTTAAGGGAGCTAAATATTGTAAAAATTTGGATATAACTTTCTACTGGTATAAATGTGCGGCATATTTCATTAAAGCTTAAGAAAGTTCAGTACTGACCTCCCTCTAGCCAGAGATGCTTCTACAGATTTTTGCTCCTCTTCTCTTACTTTATATTCAAGTTCTCTAATTTCCTTGTTCAATTTCCTGTATTCCTTTACATAGTCACTGTAAGAGCAACATTTAAAACATTATGGTCAATAAAAAATCAACATTTCTTATTTCTCTTTACATGATAATTTTGTTAATATGGATATTCATTACATACCAAAAAGTTTTCTTTTGAAAATACCGTTATAGTCAATGATTAAAGTACTCTTTACAGATCAATTTCTATGTATTTCATACTTAATATACTGCTTTCCTTGTAAGTGTACGTTCTATGTAACATTGCTATAGCGACAAACTACTTTTAATTTATAAATTGCATTTGTACTCCTTTTTTAGTCCTGGAAACAATATGGGAAAATCCCCAGTTTTTAATGCATCCAGTAGTAGTGTTTTGCCAATCCATTCCAAATTGTATTAGTCTTGGCCAGTCATTTTTTTTTAAACAATTTGACAGGTTTTTTTTATAACCTTTTACGGTTAACACATGTAACACTTATTCATCACAAAGGTAGTAAAGACCTAGTGATTAAAGTGTTTTTGCCTCTCAACCTGGGATTCTTGGGTATGAACCATACTGGGGTCCTGACCATGGTTTGTAATATGACATTAGCACTGATTATTTCTAGAAAGCAGACTCGAGAGAGAGATTCAAATAAGTTACAAGCATTCTTCAAAATCAATTTTAGATAAATAATGTTTATATTTATCAAAATTGTAAAAACATTTGCGAAAAACTTACTCAGATGTATCTCTCCATGACTTACTGGCCTTCACGTTGAGTTGAGCTACAGAGAAATAGTTGGTTCTATGTCGGACTGATGAGCAAGTCAGGTCTTTTATTATCACCTCAGCAAGTTGCAGATTCTGCGGTGTTAAAACTGGATACTTCAACCTTTCACTCATTTTTGAACCTTCAATAACAGAAAACAAACAAACTTGTGATGTTAAATTCTTTTGTCTAGGTTCTTGCCTGTTCCAAACTAATTTAATCAGGAGGCATCAAAAGTGTATCGAAGAACTTACTTTAAGACTAAAAGTTTCAGTGAGGCATGTTCACAACCACAATTCATTCATACTAGAGAGTTTAAATTTGAATTCTTTGTCTTTACAAAACATAAGCAAGCAATTTTATTTCAGATATGTTCATCTCACTGTCAAGATAGAATTTTTTTTCACACTTCACATTAAGGACATGAAAATGGGATGTGTCAATCTAGGGACTGACATACTTGACCCATGTTTTTCAAAATAAGAAAATATATTTATGTAACCAAAACTGTAAAAATTGAGAAAAGTCAACAAATTGATCAAAATATTCACTTCTTTAAAAAAAATAAATTAAAAAAATTGAGTTATTTGGGGAATACCCTTAACAATTATTGGAAATTTCAGCACTAATCTAGGAACATCCAAAAGATTTTTTTGTTCCATTGAGGAAAGATCTGTATTCAGCATATATGTTATGCAAACAACCCCTCACACCCCCTTCCCCCACCCCCACAAAAAACAACAATGCAGAAATAGGCAAAAAAGCCAATGAAGCTTTAAAAGTTTCAAAATGACTTTAAAATTGCTGTGGTAACTTAAAGCCAAACCAAATAAACACATTTTAAATTTCAAGCCACATATTTACCTAATTCTGTTTCCAACACTTTCTGTAGAACATATCCAGAGAAGTGGAATAAAAGTTGGTAAAATTTTTCTCCCCCAGGCGACATGAATAGAGATGCATTAATACGTGGTAAATGACTATCTGGTTCCTCCTGTAAAATATACAAAGTTTTATGAACGTGTTCTATGACAAAATAACTTTCTATGTCAATAAAATATAAAAATCTTTTAATTTTCAATCACTGATTTAATACCATTACAGGTGGGAATATCCAGCCCGAGGGTAACTATTTAAGGCAGTGATGACTCTCCCAGTTAAAAGCTAACATCCCACTATACATAAAAGAACACTGTTCACTCAAACTCGGACGGCCCATGCAACAATTTTTCTTTAAAATACATGTAGCTAATTCTATTAATTCTTTTTAAACTTTCTATGATTCAGAAATCCCTTAAACTTTTAATGTACTGTTCCAAATTCAAAGGTGGTCATGTCCATTACATTATAACATTTAGTACAATATAGTAGGTTAAGGGTTAAATTTTCTTATGTATATTACAAGTAGCTAAAATTCTAACTAAGAAATCAATACATAATTCTATTTCAATGAAGTAAGATAACATAAAATATACCTGGGAAATGTTTGTTAGCCAATTGGAACAAGTTTTTCTAAATCCTTGCTCTCTCTTCTTGTCTAAAATAGGCCAACAATCTCTGTAATGTCAAAATAATATGTTAATAGCACAAAAGTGCCACTCAATCTGTTGGCTTACACTGGTAAATACATTTAATGGTGTCTTTCCCTTCCCACCCGCCCCATGAAATTTCATAAAAATCATGCCATTTCACACTAGAATTCAACTTACATCACCTGTTTACCACCTTCCCTTTTAACAAAAAATCTGTGACTGGCAGCGTGGCCGAGTGGTTGATGGACCAGACTAGTAACCTGAGGATTACTGGTAGCATGTGTTTGAACCCAGTCAGGGGCAAGTTGTTTCTTTGAGCAAGAAACTATACATTCATTGCTTAATACTGGTTGGTTCCAGACATGGATTTAAAAGTGTTTCAATACCCATATAGCTTTCAACAAAATTGAACTAAATTAAATTTGTTAAAACCAAAAATACTGTGCCCCTTCCCTCTATCTGTGAAAAAAACCCTAGTTTTTTCACAGGGTTTGCTTTTAGTTATGTACGAAAATGCAAATTTGTATATGGCTGGAAAATGTTTCATAAAATCTGCATAATCCCTCATACAAAAGTACGATAAACAGCCATATTTCTTGACAAAAAATTCTACAGTTCCAAATCTTACCTAAAATTTTCTTTACACAATGTTGGATTCAGTCTTTGAAACAGAAAATGGAGGACAATCTCTGCTCCTCGTTTATTTGGCAAATCAAACATGGTCCTGAAATATTATATTTACCATTAAGCAATTAGATAAAATACTTCAGTCTATTTCATGAAAACAAGTTTGACAATAGTGTTTAACAGGTACAGATATCATAAGTATGAGTCTGAAGTTGAAAAAGATATATGTCGTTTAAAAAATCACAAACTTTAAAACACAAGAAAAATAATTCTTTTTTACAATCGTGGTGGCCGCATAGCCTTGTGGATAATGTGTCACACTAGTCATCTAAAAATTGCTGGCCACGTGGGTTCAAACCCTGTCTGACAGGGGCAAGTGGTTGTTTCCTAGTGCAAGAAACTTTAAACTCATTGCTTAGTACTGGTTGATTCTTGAAATGGATTCGAAAGTGTTTCAATAATCTTATAGCCTCTAAACACAATCAAACTAAAATAAATTTGTATAAACAAAACTAATTGTGAATTAAGAAACTGTCTAAGATTTTGTATGATTCAAGCTGACATTTTGTTTTACAAGTTTCCTTACCTGTTGAAAGGTATATGGTTAGTAGCCTCCATAGCTGGTGCATCAAAACCAAGCAACTGCAGATTATTGAAGAACAGCTGCTTCATATCCAGGGTGCCGTTGTCAATGTCCATGCTTATACTTGTGTTTTGTGACTGTATTCTCATAACAATTCCAGTTTGATATTAGCCAAAGTTCATACTATAACGTAAACCTGTTGTATAAATAAATTAATATATTTTTCACTTTTTTTAACAAAATATAAATCTAGACAAAACCTTAATGTTAACAATTTCCTTAAACTTAAAGGTGTATTCAGCCTCAGAAATGCAATCATTTTTATTTTTAAAAGCTTTTTCTTTGTATCATCCTTTTATAGTTTCTAAAAAGTTAGTCAATGACCATTTACCATTATAAGGTTTTGCTTACATTTTGCTACCTTTATCACAAGAAGTGGCCCTTAGTCTTACTGCTAGCCAAAAGTTCTAGCCATATGCGAGTCATGTATGACTAGCCTATAGGCTCTGTTAACAGTTAAGGATAGCTGTAATGTATTTTTAAATTAAATATTTATTATAAATCTATATAAAATAGATAATTTTATTATTTCACATTCAACTTATTTTCTTCAGGTGATACATTACTCTTGTGTTTTTCTAAACCTTAAAACAACATTATAAAACACATATTTGCCCTTTCTTTCTACAGTAAGAAAAAGCATTGCTTAGAGCTGTTATTAAAACATGGCTCCACTATACTCAGACTTGCTAGTCAAACAAAATAAAATTCAAAATTTTACAGAACTTTGGATCCTTACTTAGTTGTCAGATTGGTCGATATAGGAAACGTTAAGTACATCAATAATTCAGAGTCTATCCATCTTCCACTAATGTCAAACCCCTTGCGGGGACGTAGAGATGACTGCGCATCAAAATCGCAAGAAAGTTAAAGAGTTGTTTCAAAAAAGGATAAAAGAATATTAAAAACAGTGACGAGTCCATGCTAATTCAGTAATTGTTAGACGCAGAACAAAATATGCCAAGATTACATATGTCATGTCAATGACACACAAGGGAAGTGTAAGAAAGTCATTTCAGATGAATTAATATCACAAAATATAAACATTATCCGCTAAAACCTACATATCCGAAAATATGGACAAATAGTACTGTATTCAATACTTTTACGAACAAAGAAAAAAATAACATGATTAAAACTAGTTCTGTGAAAAGATTTTGATGCAAACAACAATTATACTTACGGCTGAATAACTGACTGTGTTTAGTGCGGATATTGCACATATTTATTAGAATTTTGCATTTTGAATTTGTTCTGACAAGTTGAATAACGCCGCCAACGGTGCAGGGTAAAGACTGTCTCGTGCAAATCGTTCACGGAAGTAGATCGTCACTAATGACACAAATTTTAGACAAACAGGTATTTTATCCTTAATTCTGCAAAAACTTAATAAATTGAACCTGTCATACTGAGTGATAATGAAAATAAAAGTTGTCATGATAACTAAAATGTAGATGTTGCATGTCTTTTCTCTTATGAATAACCTTTATAAGAAAATTAAAAAATTCACATGAAATTGTTCAGCTGAGAAGCCTCAAAAGGCTTAATCTGATAATTGCCCCAGAGAGAGAAGAGGGAAAATTCTATGAAGATTTGAAAATCATGAAAATGTTTGAAATGTTCATTTTTCCTTATTTATTAAAAAAGAAATATTCTGTTTTTATGTGAAAAAAAACTGCTAATTAAATAATGACAAATTAACATGTATATTGATTCAATTATAATTCTCTTTTCATTTTAGAATTTGAATAAACTCACAAGATGGACAATTTAACATAAGGCAATATGGCAGAACGCACATATGGCGGGGCTAGGAAAATATCCATAAATAGTCGTCCAAGATCTGGGTCAAAATCACAGCGGCCAGCAAGACGTAGACATACCCCTACAAGCAATGCAGTTATCTTTCCAGACCAGCCTAAACATCGTTCAACAACAAACTTTTCTTTGTTCTCAAATAATCTTGTTGCTAAAAAACCACCTACAACTCAAGCTGCGAAACTAGCACAGGTTTCCGCACGGAATCAACAGCTTGTTAGTCATGCACCAAGAGCCAGAGCTCAGGCCCGGGCCATTAGATCACCAACTCCTGTAGAAGAACCCACGTCACTGGTAACTGATAGCTCCCATCCAGTACGTTCTTTGGGACGTTCCAGACCAGCTAAGACCGATGTTCTGGTGGTTACAGAAGGACCGGTTGTAACAGATCTGAGTCAATATGACACAGACAATACTTGCCCAAGATCGCAATGTCACTCATCTACGAGTTTTTATAGTGAGACAGGAAGTAAAAATGATGTGTTCCAATTCCAATATCTTCCAGATGACTGTAAGCTGAAAGTGTTTTCATTTCTGTCCATTCATGACAAGGGAAGATGTGCTCAGGTTTGTGTGGCAGGTTTTAGATTTGTGTTTTTTTTCTTTCTTTGTGATCATGTGTGGTTAATGGACTCATTCCAAATGGCTAAAATACCTTTTTTTCTCCCAAAATGTTGACTGTTCTTAAAAGGATGAAAAGAGAGACTGGATTATGATTTATTTGAGCCACGTACACGACAAAACAAAGGCTGGTCTGGATCCATGCTGGTCGCAAACCCATTATGTTGGTTTTGTCGTGACGCGGCTCATTTTAGTTTTTATGCTAGTGTGTATTTTAAAGTTAATTATAGTAATTCCATGATTAAATTTCATGTTCACATTACTTATGTCACAGGGTGAGAAAAATATGCAGTCTGACCAGGACTCGAACCAAGGACCTAAGAATACCGTACCACAGCTCTACCTACTGAGCTATCCGGCTGCTTACACATCCTTTTCAGTGGCGTAGCTACTATTAGGCCATGTAGGCACGGGCCTACAAGTTGGTCAAGATATTGACATTTTCAAAAGTCCCAAAAATACAATAAAAGCAGGCTAGGTGGGGTTGGTTGTGGGTTCAAGCCGTATAGTCGTGTGCATGATTTACCATCCTCAGTAAAGTTTGCATCTAATCAAATTCATAGTTTTAAAGTATTGTTTTGATAATTTTCCTTAAACATACTTTGGAACGCGCATTTTGCTCTTTTTAATCTGAACTTGTTTTTGGTCTCTGGGAGCTAAGCCCCAAGACCCCCTTTTAAGTGCCTACAAGTTGAAGAAAGCTGGTTAGCCCCTGCTTTCCCCTAAATAGTGAACATTCTGAACCATGACACTTGCTATAAGAAGTTATAAAGCTTCTTTGTATATTGGTGTCATTTCTGTAAATTTAATTTGAAAAAAACTGGTGGATGTATTTTTATATGAATATGATAGTTAACTGGACATATGATAGTTAATTGACCATATGATAGTTAACCAGTCATATGATAGTTAACCAGTCATATGATAGTTAACCAGTCATATGATAGTTAACCAGTCACATGCTAGTTAACTAGTTATATGATGGTTAACCAGTCATCAGTCATATGATAGTTAACTGGCCATAATTTATGATAATTAACTTGTCATACGATAAAGATCCAGTCACATGATAATCATTCATATGATAGTTAAACTGTCATATGATAGTAAACCAGTCTTAATATGATTATTTGACTATTTAGCTTTTCATTACATAAACAGTTCTTATAGATATAATATAAATGAAAGGCTTTATATTTTTCCTTTGACATGATAGCTTTTGAAATTTTTCCCTTATTTTAAACAAAAGTGTTTTCATCATTGTAGAATATTTCAATAAAAATGTATAAGATATTGGTATACATTGATGTTTGTAACTGCATGTCAGTGCATAATTTGAATTCTACCATCAAAAAAGTATTTAAAGTCGGGCTTTTATTAGTGGTGCTTTTATTTTGACTCGGATAGTATCTCAACATATCAATCTAATACTTTCTTCTCCAAATGGTTTTAGTTCTTTTAAGTGTTTGTACTAAGTTTGTTGTTAAACTTTAACTGACCAATATTTCAGGTTTGCCTATACTGGAATTCATTGATGAAGACATCAAATGTTTGGTCGCATGTTGCGTTCAGTGACTTCCCATTCTGGTGTATAACGACAGATGAGCATAACTGTATCGGTAATTGCTATATACGATACAGAGTGCGTGTAAAACAGTTTTTATCCTACCTCAAGGACCTGCGACCAAAGTTACACAGTCTTGAATTCAAATTCGATATAGGTGAAAAAGCAGACGGATTTCTTCAACCGCTAGAAAATCTGATCGACAAAGCGAACACAAAAGAATTGAAGTATGCAAGCATGAATTGGAAAGAAACTCCAATGCGTCCATTTTGGACTGACTCTGCACGAGAAACTAGGTGCGATGAGGTCATGCAAAAGCATCGCCTTCGTCAAAGGCATTTTGTCTCGTTTTTTGATATGTTCACATTGCAGTGTCCTAAAGTCGAAACCTTAGTTGTTCCATTTGATTGGTCGGACAAAAGTGTTGATTGTTTACTGCGACTCCAAGGTCTACGTAGTCTTGTATTAGAGAAATACTTTGTCTTTCAAAAACTTTGCCAAGATCTCATTGACAGGTTGCTCATTGGATTACCATGCCTTCAGCAGCTTATGTTGGAAGTTTGGACACCTAGTGGGCATGGTCTCGTCTTTTTTGGGCTTGTGTCAAAATCGATTGAGTACTTAGATATCTCCCAAAGTCGTGGATTTTATCTGAATACTGTACACTTACCGAAACTGAAAACATTTCGAGTGGCGAGACATCCTTGGAATGGCCCTCTAGTGTTAGCAGATAGAGTAAATGTGCCTTGTATATATGATGTGTTAGCGGAAGGTAGTCCCAAGTTAGAGAAGATAAATGAACATTATCTCAAGCCCACGTGGAGGGATGGAATTTATCAGACTTTAGAGGAAGTGCTCAAAAGTGTATGTTCTTGTAAGAGACATAAATCAGGCTGGGCAATGTAGGCATTATTATATTTGGGGGGAAAATTGTTGCCAAAACATTTTTTCAGTATTATGGATTTATAAGAGACAGTTTGCTTCATTATTAAGATTTAGGTAGTTTAAGTTAAGACTTTGAAGTGCTGTATATTTTTTAGGGATACATTGAAATGTAGGTGGGGGTTTGTTCTTGACCTGTAGATGACCTCTAATGATTTTGAGGTCAGTAGGTCAAAGGTCAAATAATTTATCTGTAATCCTGATATTTTGTTTGGGTAACAAGGTGTTTCATCAACATCTGTATAAGATAGTCTTTGAAAAACAAGGAAAATTGTACTGTTTTGTATTTGGACATGTTTTATTATATAAGATAATCCTTGAAAAGGAAAACAACTACAGTTCAACCTTTGTAGAGCAAAACCCTTTGGGTGTCAAAACATTTTGGTTGTTTTTGCAGGGTTTTTATGTTTATCTGAGGTAACAGATGTGCCAAAGAAAACAACACATTTGTCTAAAGGATAAGTGGGATATTTTAATCTACTGGCTGAAATAAGAACTTTTTCAGTTGATGATATGGATTGCAAATTTGTTAATATGTAAACCCTGTGGTGAGAGATGTTTCTGTATAATGTTTAAATATATCATTGTGAAGTCTTACTTTTGAAAAAATGATACTGTTGTTGTAATGAGGTGGTTGTTCTACAGAGGGTCACTATGTAGAGATTGTACTGTACACTGACTTGTACTGTTTTAGCGTAAGTCATTGTAATAAAGTAAGTGTTGTTATTGTTTTTTTTGTGTTTTAAGACTACATGTAATTGTTATTATTTTGTATATTAAAGCTGCATGCCTCGAGATAAACCAGAATATGTCTAGGAAATTAATCTTGAGAAAAATGTACTAAGATTTTAAGAAAAGTAAAATATTCACAATTCAAAAAATAATATATAGTATTACATTTTATTTGCAATTAATAACTGATTTTTCTGTATTTATCACCATATTTCTGCTGCGTTACTAATGCAGTAAGGCCCTTTTTTAAATAATTTTCATAGATCTTAAGTGCTGTTTGTAATGTAAAATTTACTTTCTTTGTTCATTTTCTGATATTTTACTTTTAAATACATTTTCAAAATTTTCACCAAAATTAACATGAATCTGGAGGCATGTGGCTTTAATGATTAAATGCTTATTAGACAAGTGCAATTTTTATGAATCTTTGCCTTTTTAACATATTTTTGTTATGTTTATTTTACATTTTTGAAGGAAGTTAAAAACAAATTTTTAAGGATTTATATTTTATATGTTCTTTATTTTTTTATTGTTCAATTTTTACTTTAATATCAATTATTAATCATTGATTTAACAAAAAAATCCCAGAGACACATGGGCTGAGGATTAAACCTCTGATCACCATCCTGAGCAACTACATGACTGTACACGTCATTGAAAAAACAACAAATTTTCACAAACTGAAATACGATTCTTTACCAGATTAGTTTGAATAAGTTTTGAATAGTTGGTTGAATCATACTAAAGTAGCTACAATGGATGAATGCCATTCAAAATTTTCAGCTCTTTAGGGTTGATCATTTAATGCCACATACAATAGCAATAGAATATTTCATACTGATCACTTATAATGTATATTTTTGTTTGTTTATAAGTAGAGACACTCTTGGTAAAACATTGTACTTTTTGTGACTGTATTTTTTTTTTTATAATTTCTACAGTATATGGAAGGGTTGACTTCGAAACTGTTGTATGTCCTTCTTCATTTCACATAAGTTACTGTAGTTTTAAAGTCAACCCTTCATATTTAGGCAGTTAAAGCTTTGCTTCCTTTAAAAAACTACATGAGCCGTGTCACGACAAAACCAACATATTGGGTTTGCGACCAGCATGGATCCAGACCAGCCTGCGCATTCACGCAGTCTGATCAGGATCCATGCTGTTCACTATCAGTTTCTCTACTTGTTATAGGGTTTGCAAGCGAACAGCATGGATCCTGATCAGACTGCGCGGATGCACAGGCTGGTCTGGATCCATGCTGGTCGCAAACCCATTAGTTGGTTTTGTCGTGACGCGGCTCATATTATCTTCAAGGCCATGGAAGGCAATATTCTCATAAAAGCTACCATGTGATCACATGTCATAATAAAAGATACTGTGACTCTTACCTAGAGGCCCATTCAGCCCCAGAAATACTTTTAGTTTTATTTCTTGAAAGTTTTTTTAACTGTGGTATTTCCACAAAGTTACTCATTGGCCATTAACATTTCTTCTGTTGCTTTTTGGCTCTAAATTGTTGTTATTTAGTTTCTTCTTGTATGAGGATGTCAAACACTACTTTATTCACATTTTGCCACTTTAATGACAAATAATTTCACATTTCGATCAACTGCCTTAACAGTTAACAGATCACCTGACATACTCTAAAACTATTATTTAAATATTATAAAACCCATGTTTGCCATTTTCTAAAACAGTAAATATTTATTTATTAGTAAGGCATAATGTGCCTTTAAACAAAAAGAAAAAAAATCAATTCATAATATTCAGTTTTTAGTATCTAAACTTTCTAAAGCTCTAACCAAGTGTATGTTAGTTTAAAATACATGTATAATACTTTATTTACCTTGCTTGTTTTTTAAGTGAATTATATAATATTGTTGAAAAACGTATCTATGGTGTAGGTAATTGCAATAATTAAATATATCGCCACCTTAGTGCAGTAAAGGGTTAAATCCTTCTAAATTTAGTAGGAGTTAACCCTTTACCTCATATATACGCGAAACAACGCACTTTCGACCCCCCCCCCTTTTTTAGGCCTGAAATAGTGAAAAAATGTCCTATTTGGGCCCCAAACACATGTTTTCGTTTGAGAAATGTTGCTTAAAAAAGTGAGCACTTTTTCGAGTCCCCCTCATCGCCAAGAAAATTTTGGACTTGTGTGAGGCTGAAAATGACCCCAGGTCGATCATAAGGTAACGTGTAACAAACATGAAAAGCCTTTGACTCTATCTCAATCCCTTGAGAAGTTGCAGCACTTTAAAAATAAATTTTGATGGAAAAAATCGAGGCAAAATAGTGATTTTTGGCAATTTTGAGATGTCCCCTCGTTGCCATGGTAACAGGAAATTTAAGACTGAGCATGTCCTTACAAAGGCAATGGTCCAGTCAACATTTGTGCCAAGTTTGATTAGTATTGAAGCATTTTTCATAGTTTCATAGCAGTTTGAACTTGTAACAGGAGGCTTTTCACTGAAAACGGCCATTTTTCACAATATGCTCATGTGGGAAAGGGTTAACCAGTTACTGCACTAAGGTGACGAATTATGTTCCTATACACATACAATGCACAGTTTTATCCCAGGGATAGTCATTGCTCACTATGTGCAAGCTAGTCAATTAGTATTAGTAATTGTAGAATGATTTGTTTTGTATTTTTTAGCTTATCTGAGCATGAAGTGCTGGGATGTGAGCTTTTGTGATAGCATGGTAGCCATCTTGCAAAGTCTGTTATGTTTTATTACCAACAATATCTTCAAACAAAATCTCTTGAATCATATGGTTTTCACATAATTATACCCCCACAAACGCACAAACGAAGTTTAGGGGGGGTATATAGGAGTCAGCTTGTCGGTCGGTCGGTTGGTCGGTCGGTCGGTCGGTCCGTCGGTCGGTCCACATCATGGTTTCCGGACGATAACTAGAGTTTGGAATGAGGTATTGTAATCAAACTTGGTATATAGCAACCTTATGTGGAAACTCCGGTTGGTATTGCATTTGGACCCCCTGGGGTCAAGGTCAAGGTCACCGTTACTAAAAATAGAAAAATGGTTTCCGGACAATAACTAGAGTTAGGAATGAGATATTGTTATCAAACTTTGCGTATAGCAAGCTTATATGAAGACCTGGGTTGGTATTGCATTTAGGCCCCCTGGGGTCAAGGTCAAGGTCATGGTTACTAAAAAATAGAAAAATGGTTTCCGGACAATAACTTAAGTTAGGAATGAGATATTGTAATCAAACTTGGTGTATAGCAAGCTTATATGAAGACCTGGGTTGGTATTGTATTTGGATCCCCTGGGGTCAAGGTCAAGGTCACCGTTACTAAAAATAGAAAAATGGTTTCCGGACAATAACTAGAGTTAGGAATGAGATATTGTTATCAAACTTGGTGTATAGCAAGCTTATATGAAGACCTGGGTTGGTATTGCATTTGGACCCCCTGGGGTCAAGGTCAAGGTCACCCTTACTAAAAATAGAAAAATGGTTTCTGGACAATAACTTGAGTTAGGAATGAGATATTGTAATCAAACTTGGTGTATAGCAAGCTTATATGAAGACCTGGGTTGGTATTGTTTTTGGACCCCCTGGGGTCAAGGTCAAGGTCACCGTTACTAAAAATAGAAAAATGGTTTACGGACAATAACTAGAGTTAGGAATGAGATATTTTTATTAAACTTGGTGTATAGCAAGCTTATATGAAGACCTGGGTTGGTATTGCATTTGGACCCCCTGGGGTCAAGGTCAAGGTCATCATTCCTTAAAATAGAAAAATGGTTTCCGGACAATAACTAGAGTTAGGAATGAGATATTGTAATCAAACTTTGTGAAAAGCAAGCTTATTTGGAGACCCCAGTTGGGATTACAATTAATTGAAATATATCTTTGTACACAGTTGATAGTTTGTGTTGAATTTTTTCTTCAGACTACTTATTTTTCAAAAAGTTGCTGGTGGGGGTATTAATCACCTTCAGTGATAGGTCTAGTTTTGTTTAGTTTGATAGTGTATAAAGCTATAAGCTTATAATCCACTCTTGTGTTTGTTCCAGGCACCAAATGGTATTTAGCAATTTGTTTAAAGTTTCTTGCTCATGAAACAATCGTCTGCCCCTGATGGGCTTTGAACCCATGCAGCTAGCCATCTTGCTTCTGTTTCATGATAGATTTTGACCGGCAGTAATGATCCTTAGGTAGACCTCTGCAGAAGTTATATGCAAATATGTAAATGAATACAGTCTGATGCATAAGTAGGTCACAGGATCTTCTATACATCTTTTCAGAACTACAATTCCAGAAACTACAATAGACATTTGACATGTAGCATCATAGTTTAAATATTTTTGCATAAAGTATTATCAATTTCACATAGATCATGCCTGTTTTGTCAAAAATTTTGCACCCAGTGTGACCCAATGACCTACTTCTGCATCAAAATTTTTTGACCTTTATATACCTCAGGTGAGTGATATAGAGCCGTT